AGTAAACTTACCAGCACTTCAATTTAACCCAATTTTTTGGGGTGTTACAACTCTCATCCTTTAGAAAATTTTGACATCGAAATTTTAGCTGACAAAAAAATATAAGGAAACAACATCCTCACAGTTGACCTTCAGAAACTACGATTACTCTACAATATTTTAATTGTCGATATTCATATGATTCTCATAACTTGACCCTCACAAATAAGCATTTGAATAGTTTTTTTAAACTGAAATCGGATCTTAGTTTATTATTCTCAATAGAAACAACATAAAGGGCTGACAACAATTAATCATGAACACGCTCAAGCTCTAGCAATATCTCAAGACGTTATGCAATTAGTCATGCTCATCACAGAATATGTCAATGAGTAAACATTAATCAACGATAAATGATCCCTCTAATCATCTCGGAACACTATAATACAACATTTTAGCTTATCTTCCATCATTTAAATAATCCGTTCAACAAACCACCAGTTTGAGAATAATAAATGGTACCGAAGTTTCAAAATGGAACTATTAGTAGATATCGAAATTAATCTACAAAGGACTTAAGGAATTCAAAATGGTTCATATCAAAATAATATTTCATTCAGGAATGTCAAACTTTACACAAACTTTTTGGCAGCATAAAAACTCGAACAGAATATTGCTCAAAAACATTCTTGTACATTGGAAAACACAATGTGACAGAATAAGGACTCGAACAGGTTAGCATTATTACATAGATCCATTTATAATCTTATATTGTCGCACATAATTGGAATTTTATCAAAACTCGCAATCGAGATGAACTTGGAAGATTATTGAGTCATATGGCATATATATATATATATATATATAATTCCTACGAGTTACCTCTTAGGAAAGATTTTATAACAGGTCCAGAGATTTCGGTCAGAGTTTCTCATATAAAATTGAACATAATGTTGAAAACTAGATATTAACACATCTTATTTTCAAGAGGAAATCGAGAATAAATTCAGAATCGTCGATAAAGTTTAATCGAGGAGGACTGAAGAGTGTTAAAAGAATATCAAGAACATGTTTCGTTATTTGACTAAATTGCGAGCGTTCAAACCTTACACCCGAAATAGCCAATTAATATGTCTAAACGACATCATACATTCAAACCAGGCTCACGACTATATATATATATTAAGTATGAAACTGTCATTAAAGATAAGTAGTAACTTTCTAGAATGGCATTAGAGTCTCGATAATTTCAGAAAATACTTGAAAATCTTATGGCATGGTTTTTCAAAAATCATTTTTCATATTTTTCTAAAAATCTTTTTGCAAATTTGTTTTAAATATATTTTCAGAATTACAGCAGGTTGCACAGTCTAAGAGTTTAAACTTTGGCTATGATACCACTAAATGTAACCCCTTAAACCCAACCTAGAAGTTACAACTAAATCAGGGTGACCATGTTGATCACATATACATCCACAAATGAACATTTTTAATAAGTCACTCTAAAATGTTTATTGAATATAAAATCAGAAATAAACTCATGCCACATTTTAAGAAGGCTGAAAAGTAAATATTAAATCGCATGCAGTGTATAATCGATACCATACTTCCGATAGCCAAACTGGTCATATATCTGGATAATCTGAAAAAGAAAGATAGAAATAGAGTAAGTTACAAGGCTCAATGCGTCCTCTAAAATTTTAATAAGGTAATACATCAACGCAAAAAAATCAAATATAAAATAATAAATAAAATAATGATCGACCAATATTAAAATTTAGATATTTTACCAGCAGAATGTCCCAACAGAAATTCACAATCTTACCTTTCGTTCCGAATCAACAAAATATGCACATTATCTTACAATGAGACATCAAAAACGGAATATCAAAATCGGAATGGGAATTTAGCCCTAATATGAGGATCACAAACTGAGTCAAAGACAGAGATATAATCTCATGCATATGTTAGAACGACGAATTTATCCCATGCAGATGTCAGAACGAGGAGTTTATCCTATGCAGATTTCAGAACGGATAGTTTATCCCATGTAGATGTTATAATGGGGAATTTATCACATGTAGATGTCAGAACGGGGACTAAGCCCATGCAGAATCAAGACGGGGACTAAGCCCTCCATAGAGGATCCCATGCAAATATCATAAATGCATCAACATGCAAATTAATTGTGATGTCACAGTATTCAGAAGTTGAGTGAGCAAATTGAAAATTTTAAAAGTACAATGAGTGAAATATGAATCATATGAAATTTAAATTAACAAATTTGTAATTTACCCAGTAATTCCTTGAAATTTAAAGTTTTGAAATTAAAATAAATGATATTTTTTACTTTTGAAAAATAATTACTTTTTAAATAATTATATAATAATAAACTGGTTCATATGTGAATGCAATTCGATTGGAATTTTTTCAAGAAAAGAATGAGAACAATCTAAAGGAGCTTTCAATTTGTCAATGTTACTGTAGAAAGGAAGTATCTTCGAAACTGCAACAACTCAACTTTAGGCATTGGATTCCCATTTTCTCTCTGCCGACCTCTCAAATGCATGCACATTTTTCACGTTAAATTGTCAATTCATTTATGTTATTACGAAATTATTAAAAAAATAATTAAAAAAATAAGGAGCCTCACATGTTTTCAAATATTATACATACACGACACCTAATCTACTCTATATTATACATATATTTTTTTATCAATGTTAAAAATAGATAAAACTTTTGAGATAATGTTCTGGAAAAAATTAATTCACGAGATAAAGTACTTTCAAGATTAATTGCTCAAATAAGGTGAAATCTACAGTGTTGGCCGTAGGTCGCCATGCCTTTCGGGCGACCTACTAGGTCGCTATATCTTCCCGGCGAGCTACAAGAGATTGCATGTGCCATGCACGTCCCAACACGTTGGGCATCCGAGGCCATCCGACCGAGGCCATCCGAGAGCATCCGAGGCCATCCGAACGAGCTATGCGAGGGCATCCGAGGGTAACCGAGCGAGCTATGCAAGGGAATCCGAGGGCAGCCGAGCGACCTACAAGGTCGCCCGGAGTGCATGGCGACCTACAAGGTCGCCCGGAGGGCATGACGACCTATGTGTTGGGCTGTGCATGTGCCATACAACACGTTCATTCTCTCTGTTTGAGCAAGGGTAGGTCGCCCGGAGTGCATGGCGACCTATAAGGTCGCCCGAAAGGCATGGCGACCTATAAGGTCGCCCGAAAGGCATGGCGACCTACGGCCAATACTGTGGATTTCACCCTATTTGAGCAATTAATCTTGGGAGTGCATTAACTCGTGAATTAATTTCTTCTAGAACATTATCTCGAAAGTTTTGCCGTTAAAAACATGTCATTTATATTATTAATTAGTTGGTCTAGTAAGATAAAACACTAAATCTTTTAAGCAATGTCGAGGGTTCGAAACTTGATCATTGTGAATGGAGTAAATTGGATTAGAAGAGTTGCACTTGCCTATGCAATGCCAGATCCAGATTAATTTATCAATAATTGAATATTAATGATTAAAAAAAATTGCCATTTATTTCACCTTTTTTTACTATTAAACACAATATATCTTGTGTAATTATTAGAGTTATATGACAATTTTCTATTGAATCCGATATATAGTTAAGAAAAAATTCACTTACATGAAAGTTAAAATAAAACCTTTTGTTAATGAGTAAAGTTGATATTAACCCAATTCTTTTAAATGTTCATTACATATATGCCTATAATTTTTTATGATTCTCGATGTGATTTTATAGTGATATTTATTTTATCTTAATTTTGGATAATCTTATAAATATTATAATATTATTCGAACTCAAATCGTTTAAAAAAACATTTCACCTTATATTATTAGGATCAATTATTAAATTCGTATACTAAAATTAGTTCATACGTAATAATAAATTAATTTATTTATGAATTGAAACCAAACTTCAACAAAAATACGTCAAGGTTAAAATTAACCTAATTCAATTGGATAGCTTTTAATTGTTATATATTATAAAATATTTAATTTATATTTAAAAAATTAAACAAAATAAAAATAAAATTTAATTATTATTAAAATTTTAATAAATATTTAAACAATTAAATTTATTAATTTTAATGGCATTAATTTAAATTAAGTATACTGTACAAGGCCAACAACCGGGAAGTGTTCACACAGGCGTGTGATGTCACCTATGACGTCATCCAAACCAAGGTACAATTTGCTACCTCAGCTTCATCGTCATCGAACCGTCTTCATTTTTGTCTCACGCGCTAACAATCTAAGCCCCCCCCCCCCCCAACAGACCACAAAGAAAGGAAATTTCATAAAAATCGTTATTTTTGGAACGCCGCGACGATTTTCTTACTGTTATTTCTTATTTTCTTAATTTTATTTCTTTTTTTTACCTCCTCTTTCAAGCCTTTGCTATGATGTTATCCTCCTCTTCTTCATCGTTAACACCAAAAGAGTAACCTCTGATCTTTGCCGAAGTCTCGATTTTTATTGCATGTTTATGGAGTAAATTATATGAATGTTTATGGGTTTTCCTTCTTTTTCCAGGATCTGATTCTTGATCTTCCTTTAAAAACTTTTCCTTTTTCCTTTTTTTTAATTTCCCCCCACTTATTGGCTTAATTTAAGGGTCTGGAAAATTCAAGCAAGTTAGTATTTTATGCTTTGGTATAATTGTTTTCACGCCATGTGATTTGATAAAAATAATGCCTGTCAAAAAATTGCAATGATATGATATCAGTTTAGATCCCCAGAAGACTAAGTTTTTTGTTTAATTTGTTTGAATGCTTGTTTTCTGAAAATAAAGAAAGCAATAACTATATAGGAATAATTGTTAGTTTTTGATACTACTGTTTTTTTGTTTAACAATTCTGTTTTGGGGTTTGTACGTAGCTTTCTGTTTACTGTTTCCCATCTTTGGGTTGGATATTTGGGGAGCAAAGCTTGCATCTTTTCTTGTTCACGAAGTAAGAAATTTCCCCAGATTTTCAATGGCTTATTTATCCGAGCCATCATCTTCTTTGAGTTTCAGTTCATCTTCTCATCTATCAAATGGCTCAATTACTCACAACATACCCCACTTCCCAGTCCCAGAAACCGGGGCTAACCTTGAAGCCATAAGTTTGAGCAAGCTCAGCTCCAGCTTGGAGCGACTCATTGTTGACAATTCTCCTGTTTTTAGTGATGCTGATATAGTTGTTGAAGGTGTTCCTGTTGGTGTTCATAGATGTATTTTAGCTGTTAGGAGTAAGTTTTTCGATGTTGTCTTCAAGAAAGGATCTGAATCTAATGGGAAACCGAGTTATAACTTGTCCGAGTTGTTGCCTTATGGCAAGATTGGACTTGAAGCTTTCCAGGTTTTATCGAGTTATTTGTATACCGGGAAGCTCAAGCCTTTTCCCATGGAGGTTTCCACATGTGTCGATAATGTTTGTGCTCATGACGCTTGTCGTCCTGCCATTAACTTTGCCGTCGAGTTGATGTATGCGTCGTCAATATTTCAAGTACCGGAGCTTGTTCCACTTTTTCGGGTAAGCATATGATTAGCATGGTGATTGGAGATTAATTGTAGTTATAGTTGACTTGGGATCTATCATAGTTATAGTTATATATGTGTAGTAAAAATATTGAAATGAAGCACCGATACAACATTTTTGGCTTGATTAGAGCGAGTGAATTGCTACTTATTTATTTTTTGTATACATTTGCAGCGACGTCTTCTTAATTTCGTTGAGAAAGTGCTTGTCGAAGATATCATCCCGATCCTTGTGGTTGCCTTCCATTGTCAATGCAGCCAGCTTGTTTCCCAATGTGTTGATAGAGTAGCAAGGTCGGATCTTGACAGCATCTGTATCGAAAAAGAGCTTCCTTATGAAGTTGCAGAGAGTATTAGGTTGCTTCGCCACAGGTCTCTATCGGATGCCGAAGACAACGAGGCAGTGGTTGATCCTTTGCGGGAGAAAAGAATCCGGAGAATACTCAAAGCATTAGACTCCGACGATGTTGAACTTGTTAAACTACTTTTAACCGAGTCTGACATAACTTTGGATGCTGCTGCTGCCCTCCATTATGCTGCAGCATATTGTGACCCCAAGGTTGTCTCTGAGATCCTTGGCCTGCGTCTGGCTGATGTCAACCTGCGAAATTCTCGTGGTTACACGGTTCTTCACATAGCCGCGATGCGTAAAGAACCATCTGTGATAATGTCACTCCTAGCCAAGGGGGCATTTGCTTCAACGTTGACGTTGGATGGACTGAGTGCTGTTAACATTTGCCGTAGGTTGACAAGACCAAAGGACTATCATGCAAAAACAGAACAAGGGAAGGAAACAAATAAAGACCGGATATGCATCGATGTTCTAGAGAGGGAAATGAGGCGAAATCCAATGGCCGGGGATGTTTCTACCGTTTCCCATACATTGGCTGATGATCTGTACATGAGACTTTCGTACCTAGAGAACCGAGGTATTACATTCTGTGGGGATTTCACTCGGCTCTGTCTCTAGAATCGGTTTATTGTATAGTGTTTCCCAAAATTTCATAACTGAGTATAATTGTTGTCAATCTGAAATTATTCACTAGTAATAAATTGTTCATGAATATGACAATTATTTGCTGTAATATGTCTTTGACGTGTGATATCGAATATGTGGGAGTAGTACTGTGCATGTAAAGGAAGACAACCATGGACTGGAAAAATAGTAGAAGTCGTTCTGCAAGTGATCCTATTATCAGTTCATATTCTGAGGATTAACTCTTAGTGCTTTTGTCTATTGCAGTGGCATTGGCAAGGTTACTTTTCCCGAGCGAAGCAAAACTTGCCATCGACATAGCACATGCAGAGACGACCTGCGAACTTGCTAATGATCTTCCATCAAGAAGTTCAAATGGGAACTTAAGGCAGGTTGATCTGAATGAGACACCCATTATGCAGAGGAAAAGACTTCTTGCTAGGATGGATGCCCTTATGAAAACAGGTGAGCTAACACATTAAATATACTCGTATTTAGGTCCCCTTTCTTTTCGGTTTTGCATTCAGAGATTAGTTTTGTCGATATCCTCTCCAAACAAGCTCCATTTAGCATCTGTTGTCTTAATCCGATCATATCGGTTGTTTTGCAGTGGAGATGGGCCGACGCTACTTCCCTCATTGCTCGGAAGTGCTCGATAAATTCATGGAGGATGACCTTCCCGATATCTTTTACCGCGAGACGGGCACCCCGGAAGAGCAAACGATAGAGAGAACATGCTTCAGGGAGCTTAAAGAGGACGTCCAGAAGGCATTTAACAAGGACAAGGCCGAGTTTAACTGCAACAGTCTGTCTTCGTCGTCGTCTTCGTCATCCTTAATAGACGGTGGCCCTTACAAGTTCAGAAAACTATGAAGAAATGTTAGTCGGTAAGGATGTCTTGTGAGCAAAACTTGTAATTATTCCTTTTGTCTGCTACCATATCGCCGGGAAAAACTTGTTCTATAAGCAATCCCCCTGGTGATGAAGGTAGCAAAAGTTATACATACCATTAATTACCTACATGAATTTTATGTTCATTAGTCACTTTAGAGATCTATGATGATAGAAAATTCTAACTATGATTCATTTCCTTCGACATTTTTATATTTGCCGCTGACAAATATCAAATTTGTCAAATAAATTAATTCTTATTTCTTAAATAAAGGTGAAATAGAGAAGGAGATCGATCCACAAAGATTAAGGAAGTTTGATAATATTATTTACTGAATTGAATTGATTGTAAAAATAATAGGGATTTTAAAAATAACGAACATGATATAATAAAATAAAAGTAAATAACAAATGATAAAAAGTAATAAAAGTAAATAAGGTGAAAAATTCGATTGAGATGATTTAGCCTTAGGATTTACTTAGCTTCAAATTTGATTGATCATCGAAATATCCTTGTTTACATTCAAGAATGTCTAACCCTTGCAACTAACTTTTCTCTTTAGTAAATTGATATTTTCAAGTTTATCAGTGAAATTCAGTCTTTATTGGACTAACCACGTCTATCGCCTTTAACACTAAGACAACTTGAAGTGTTGAAAAAGTCTGACTTGGGTTATAATGTATCAACGAGAATCGAACTCAATCTTGATTCACCTTAGTAGACTGCTGCTAAATTTGTTTATAGGAAGTTGAACTACAATTAACCGATTCATATTCCTAACAGTAAATCAAAACAACATTGAAATTAACGTAGACTTTTTTAAGAGAAAGTGTCGAGACTTTTAGAGGAATGGTCGATTGTCACTAAGGATGGGCACGGATCGGGTTTCAGCCAAGCGGACCCAACCCGAAAATTTTACACCCTCCACCCGACCTGATTTTTTGAGATAAATCTGAAATCGACCTGACACGAAATAATAAAAATATTATTTTTATTCAATAAAAATAGAGATTTAATTGAAAAAATAATATACATAGGGTATTACTATAATTATATTTAAATATATAAGGTAAAATTATACTTTTCAGGTCAGTTAGGTCGGATATTATTCACCCTAAAACGAGCCCAACTTGAGCATCACCTTTAGAAAACTCAACCTGACCCGACTCAATTATTTTTAAAAAAAGACTCGATTGGGTCGGATTAGACCTCATACCCAACCCTAATTGTCACCCTAACTTCTAGAGAATCGAACAATGTATCCAAGCATGAGTTGGATCATATTAGCATTTCCATGAAAGAATACAAATAAAAGAAGGTAAAAAGATAGAAAAGATAAAAAAAAAATATCAAGACTTGTGGTTAAGTTTAAATTCTGTTTTATCTTCTAAATAAACTTCAATTATCTCTAAGCATTTATATTTAGAATAATTTTAAATATTAATCTTTAAGATAATACTCGTTCATTTTCTAAAAAATATTATCTGGACTGTTTTCTGAAAATTGATGATTGGGTTGAAATATGTCACTTCGAAAAGTGTCATATCTTAGATTGTGTCTCTGACTCTAAAATAATACAGATTTTATCTTTTCATTATTTGTTCTTATCAATTAATTCAAATGAAGTTTTGCATAAAAAAATAAATTAAAATAAATATAAATCAGTTATATCTAATCGAAAATAAAGAATAAATAACAATAAATATATATACTATTCAACACTCATCAGCCGCATTCATAGCAATATACACGGTCGAAATTGTCTTTGACAGTCGCATCGACTCGTCATCTGATTCTGATCGTCACGCGTTCATAACAGTAGTTAAGAAATCCAGAATTTCGATGAATAGATGCCAAGCAAAAGTGGAACTGCAGGTTTTGACGTTTTGTTGAGCGCATCAGATGCCTGAAAAAGAAGAATGAATTGTTTCCAAAGTACGTACATTTATTTATTTTCTGGAAAGTAGAACCTTCATGTGGCAGTAAGGGAAGAATTTTTAGCTTAGCTTAGCTTAGCTTAGCGATGAAGTTGTCATAACTGTTTTTAGGTGGAACAATTATTTATTATTTAAAAATATTTATGATTTTAATTTAAAAAAATTGATAATTTTGGATTAATTTTAATAGAATTGGATAGAGTCTCTATCAATATTTGGGTTAGGTAGGTCGAATACCTAAAGCGTCTTTTAAAAATAATTTTTTTTAAAAAAAATATTTTTTAAGACAAAAGTCTGCGTTTACCAAAGATTCGATTAAAACGGGTTCGGGAGTCGGTTACACGTGGAGAAGGATTAGCCCCCACAGCGTCCAAAATTGATACTGTTTCGCTTACACGTCGTAATGGTGAAAATCCTGAGTCAAATATTAAGTTAAAATATGATCCATTTATTAAATATTAATAACTTACTTCAAATTAATTAATTAAAGAAACTATTTATTTGAATAATAGATCTAGCAAAAACATGAACTTAAATGATTAAATGATAAAAACATAAACTCAAAAGACTAAAATAGCTAAAACATAAATTTAAATGACATAAATAGCAAAAACAGAAACTTAAGTGACTAAAATAAAATAACATAAACTAAAGTGTCAAAATCAGGAAAACATATATATTTATATGCTAGAATGAAAAACACACATAAAAATTCAGGGATTAAATAGAAGTTATACCAAAAATACATAATAACATCATAAAAGAGTCACCGGCCATCGTGTTGCTGCGCTGCCATGCCACCGTCCGATCGTCCTGAAATTTTAGTATGTTGTTCTTGTTGACCTTGCGCAACTTTTGACCGATCAGAATGTTGATCGGAAGTCCTGATAAAACCGTCCGAATTTGTTTTCTCTGATTCACCACCGTCCGATCGTTTTGAAATTTCAATATGATGTTCGTGTTGACATGACACAACTTTACACCGTTTGGAATGTTGATCGGAGACCCGATCGTCGGCAAGAGGCCAAAAACCGTCCGGATTTATTTTCTTTGATCCGCCACCGTCCATCGTCCGATCGTCTTAATTTTTCAGTATGTTGTTCGTATTGTTATTGCACAACTTTTGACCGTTCGAAATGTTGATCGGAGACCCAGATCGCCGGTGAGAATTCCGGCGGAATTCAAGACCCTTTCCCTTTTTCTTTCTATTTTTTCCTTCAATTTTCTTATCTCTCTCTCACGTTTGGCTTCCTCCGGTTTGCTCCTTGGTGTTGCTTCTCACGTTTTGCTCTCTCCCCTCTTTTTTTTTTCCACACCGAATGATCTTCTTTATCCTTTTTTCACTCGTCTAATCTCTTTGTTTTTTCTTTTTTTTTTCAAACTTTATAGCTAGATGTTGATGTAGTAGGTTGGTATAATTTTGTTTTTGACTTTGACAGATTATTTGGTGTAGATTGGCTCCAACATGTCATGGGATTGTAGTGGACTGCAAACATATTGTTATTAATTAGATGATAATAATAATTATAATAATAATAATAATATAATATACTTTTTAGATCGATTAAAAATGAGTGTCTACATAATCCACCTTTATTCTTCACTCGGATTATGTCCACTTTTACCATGAACATGCAATCATCCATTCACACTTTGGTCGGGAGAATTCTATGTACAATCACTTATTATAAGGTTAATATAAAATAACTTAAAATATTACCTTTTTCTTATTTTTTTTGTTGCAACCTTATTTTAGGTTATAACATAAATTGTTATTATTTTCATAATATTTTAGGTTGCAACATAAAATGTTAAAAAATATAATATTTTATGTTACGCGCAACTTAAAATATTATGAACAACATAATATTTTAAATTTCACCTCTCTTTAACTTTATATTAATATGTCGCACCTCAAAACTCCTCTCATCTTAGTTTGGTGCACTTTTTATAAATACAATTTATAATCTATTTTCATGGAATTAACTTGAAAAGAATGAATCTTTGGTCCATTTTAATATCTAAACTCTCAATTTTCTCAAAAGCATACATAAAATTTAGTTTTTGTTTCATTTTAGTATCATGTCGTTAAAAAATTTATTTATTGTTTCATTTTAGTACCGGTTCAAAATTTAATGTTAATTTTTTGGGGGAAAAATGAAAGTTTAGGTTTTAAAATGAACCAAAACTAAAAGTTTAGGTACTAAGCGCGTTAAGTTTTTAATGGCGAGTACTAAAATGAAAATTAAACATTAGGTATGGTTTTGAAAAAAAATTAAAAGTTTAGATATTAAAACAGATTAAAAATAATAGTTTAGATACTAAATGTGTAATTTACCCTTTAACTTTTTGTTCAAATTCTTTGATTAAGTTCTGTCTTTATCAAACCATTCGCCATTGTACAACCCATCCATCTCATTTATTCAAAGCTAAATCAATTGCTATCACACATTTAAAATAATACTTACAGAAAATATAAGATTACAAAACCCAGAAAAACAGTTGTCGCACATTTTTCCATTTTTTGGTCTCATTAGGATAAGATTACAGTGGCAAACTCAACCACACTGTCAAGCGCCCAGAACCAATCAAATAAGTTGACACGCCGAACGTTTCATCAGCCAATGATCCCATGGCCCATCACCCCTCAAGGATATCCACCGATTCATCATTCTTCTTCTTCAGCTTCTTTTGCTTCGACTATATATATATATATATATATATATAGGGTAAAGTATATAAATGGTCACTGAACTTTTCATATACTTGCATTTAGATCCCTAACTTTTAAAACTTGCAATACGGTCACCAAACATTTAGTTCATTTGCAATATGGTCCCCTATGTAACGTCCATTAGGGTAAATTATATAAATGGTCACTGAACTTTTTAGGATCTTTCATTTAGGTCCCCCAACCTTTAAAACTTACAACACAATCATCAATTACATTCTAAACCCCAAAATTCAAAATGCTTCAATTACATTCTAAACCTTAAATTCCAAAATACTTCAATTACATGGCTAACCCCAAATTCACAATCCATTCTCAAAACCTGTCATAACAAACTGAACTTGAAGCATCAACCCTAAACTCTCAAAACATAATTATTTTGAAAAAAATTAACCAACTATAAGTGAACAATAAGTGATTGTGTTGGGTTTAGGGTTATGTTGGACCTAAATACTCAATTCAGTTTATAAAATAGTTGACTCAATTTTTTTTGATTTGAGTTTATAAAATTTAAATCAAGTCGAATTGAATTGAACTTTCGAGTTTCTGTTTAAATTTAATTATAAATATTTATCATATTATAATATTATTTGATTCTAATTCAGTTCAGTTTATAAAATAGTTGACTCGAAATATTTTCGATTTGAGTTTATAAAATTTAAATAAATTCAAATTAAATTGAATTTTCGAGTTTCTGTTTAAATTTAATTATAAATATTTATAATACTATAATATTATTTGATTCTAATTTAAATAGTTTTTTAACCATATACAATACATATATTTCTTCATATTATTTCCATATGTGAAATACATATATCATACAGAGTCAATGGACTTGACTCAAAACTTAAAAATTAATCCACTAATTACTAATTTTTTTTGAGATATTCAAGTTGTATTTTACAACTCGATTTCTACTTGAAATTTTTTTAAGTCGAGTTTATAAAATTACAACTCAAAGTCAAATTGTATCATTTTTTTTAATTAATTTAAGTCGAAAAATATTTTTTTTTTGAATTGAATTGATTATTGTTCACTTATAGTTGGTTAAATCTAACTTTTAAATCCTAAACCTAACATAATCACTTATTGTTATGGACCCAAAATGAACTAAATTTTGTTAATTATGTTGGGTTAATTGGTGGGGAAAGTTAACATTTAAGGTTATATTTTGAGGGTTTAGGATTGCGCTTCAAGTTTAGTTTGTTATGACATATTTTTTGAGAATGGATTATGAATTTGGGGTTGTCTATGTAATTGAAGTATTTTTAGAATTTGAGGTTTAGAATGTAATTGAAGTATTTTAGAAATTGGGGTTTAGAATGTAAATGATGATTGTGTTGCAAGTTTTAAAAGTTGGGTGGACCTAAATGCAAGTGTCTGAAAAGTTCAGTGACCATTTATATAATTTACCCTAACAGAAGTGAAACGACCGTTACGTCGGGACCATATTGCAAACAAACTAAATATTTGATGACTGTATTGAAAGTATGAAAATTTTGGAATTCTAAATGCAAGAATCTGAAAAGTTCAGTGACCATTTATATACTTTACCCATATATATATACACTTCAATTATTTTGGTTATTACTGAGTCGGAGAATCTAAAATACTAAAGTACTCTTCTTACTTTCATTGAATCTCACGGTTGGTGCCACTGCAACCTTTTTTTTTTTAGTTATTTTCTTATACAGTGATTTGATTTCTCTCCTTTCTTGTTTTTTCTACTTTATGTTTTAGTTTTTTGCCTTCTTCTTTCGTGGGTTGTTCTTCACTTTTGCATTGATTTGCCATTTTGTCAAGTGCTCATCTTTGCTTTTTAGTTATGGGTTTTTAAAGTTTTCCTTTTTACTGGGTCTTGTCCACTGATTAGCCCTGGAAAATCCCTTTTTTATGGTCCCTGGTGTGTGATTTCTCTTTCACTTGCTTCTATTGTGTTAACTTTTGATTGCTTTATGTTGCTAGCTGTTCTCCAAATGGATTACTTCTAATTTCGGTGCTTTCTCATTGTTTATTTGCATTTTACTTAACTGGAATGGAAATGTTTGTTTGATCTGAATCTTAGCATTAATATTCGCTTTGTTCATTTTAATTAAACCTTTAGTATTTTGTTTGTTTCTTGTTTGTTTTAGCTTGCTTGAATTAAAGCTTTTAAATAGAAAAAGAATTTATACCTTATTTATCTTGGAATATGATGGGAAAATTGATATCTGTGTAGAAAAACCTAGTATCAAATGTAGATTGTTGAAGAAACCTTCTGAATATCTAATTTTCTTCTCTCTGACTACCATTTTGTTTGTATCAAGGAATTGGTGATTGAAGGAGGGAGGAGACTAAGAGAAGATGCCCATGTGCTAAGGCGATTTGAGATTCGAATATGAGAACAGTGCCTAAACAGACGGTGATGGCTATAAAGTCTTACCATAACCACGCTCAGTTGTTGGTTAAGAACTACTTATTTGCAGATCCCTTCATTCCATACAATTCTATCCTTGGTGGCGTTCTTGCTTGCAAAGTGGTATATCGAGTTTTTAACTAAATCATCGGATGCTTTTCCTTCGTTTCCTTATATTCATTATACATGTTTCTCCTCGTCCTTTAGGCCTATGATCTTACCCAGTTAATCAGCAGTTTTTACAGCAAGACATACCCTGGTCTTACTAAAATTCAACGAGTAGAGTGGAACAATCGGTTAGTATGGTGCATGATCTAGTTTCTCCTTATTTTTTCTGCTAATGTTATTATTTTCGATCTCTCATTACTTGTCGGCATGTTTTTGGCAGTGGCATCTCTACAGTTCATGCTGTTTTTATTTCTGCTTTGTCGTTGTACTTCGTGTTTGGATCGAATCTCTTTTCTGATGAACTTGCTGGTCTTCTCGTCTTCCGAAGCTCACCACTTTCTACTTTTGGGTTAGGGGTAAGTGTTAACCTTATGTGACCTTTAAGGTATTTTGTGGACATTTTATCTGTTCAGTATAAATTTTCAACCGTTTACTAGGATGAAAGTGATTAGCATATGTTTAGAACGAACTACAAAGTGGCTGCCAGCTCTTTTTCACTCTAAACGTCTCGAGGATGCAACTCATCCTTTATGGCTGTTTGCAGCATCTTCGTTCACTTACCAGTATAAAGTCGAGTGCTACTTTTGGTACTAATCCGAGGACTTCCTAATGTACTTGTTACCTACTATGATTTTACAGGTTTCCGTTGGATACTTCCTGTCAGATCTTGGAATGATTTTGTGGCTGTATCCCTCTTTAGGTGGTATAGAATATGTAAGTGTATTCTCTATGCTGATATCACTCTGGCTTACATTTTTTTATTTGTTTATCGTGTTAACCATTCGATCACCACGGTCCAAGTTGCCATAAAAACCGAGCTGTTTTCCTCACATCATTCAACTTAAACCCTTTTGATTCATTAATTGCATAGAGGCAAGTATTTTAGATCCGGTAACAATTTAAAGCAAAGCAGGCAACAAATTATCTGGTCTCCCATGTTTAAAAGTGCTTATGTTCATGTAGTATATCGATGCTAAGGGGTGATAAGTAATAAGATACTAGCATCTGATTGCAGGTTATCCATCACACGCTTTCCGGAACCGCAGTGGCGTATTCAATGTTTACCGGAGAAGCGCAGCTTTATACATACATGGTTCTTATATCCGAGGTGACAACTCCTGAAATTAACATAAGATGGTAAGTTCGAATTAATAAGATTTATAATTTCTGATGTTAAATTAAACTATATCCTGTTTCTTTGATGAAGGTATCTTGACACAGCTGGTATGAAGAGGTCCACTGCATATCTCATTAATGGTGTTGTCATCTTTTTGGCTTGGCTGGTGAGCTGAACGGTTTTATTTTCGTTGTGAAACGGATATGTTCTGCTATTCGCAGAAACTGAAGTAAATTTCAAATTGCAGATTGCAAGAGTTGTGCTATTTGGCTACATGTTCTACCATGTCTACTTGCATTATACACAGGTAACTTTGCCTCCATGATGTTTTAGGTAACAATAGAAACACCTCCACATTCTGTGTATGCACGCCTCTTCTACTTCGTCTCCCTTTCATCCCGACATTCACCCTCTGTCGACTCAAATACATTAGCCCGTACGTCCATGGTCATTTCCCGTAACCAACTTTTGAGAAAAAAACTAATTGATCAATCCCAGCCTAACTGAATATTTCATTTGTTAAAAATATTTGGTAAGAATCTGTTCGACTTGATTGGCTCAAGTAGGTGATCAAGATGCATGCTTTTGGCTATATGTTGGTTTTCGGGGTGCCATCCGTGTTAGCCATCATGAACTTGATGTGGTTCAGGAAGATTATTACAGGCATGGTGAAGGTTTTAACAAAGAGGCGGTGATGGATATCGGGAATACATGTCTAATATTTTCAGGTATCTGAGATTTGTACATTTTTTCTACCACTGCTGCCATATGTATAAATCATAGAGAAAGAGAAGGTCGAAATCCATTCGAGTCCTATCCGAAATTTTCCGTCGTTGGAGATGGAATTGCTGTTGTAAATGGTTCCAATGTAGTTATCTGTATACCTGCACCATATCTTTTAATTATTTCATTTCCATAAACACAATTTCCTTTCAAAATTGACATCAAGATTGTGATGTTTGAACATTCATTCATTATGTTGGGTTTACAATGAATTCTTTGGCTACTAACATTACTCAAGTAGCATACTGAGGATTCTCATAACTGTCCCCTTATTCATTTTAGCAGCAGAGATTTTAATGTCACACTTGGTATGTTATTTTGGGCAAATGCTATAGTGCAGGATAAACTCATCATGTGAGCATGGCGAGTTTGCCCAAATAATATTTTTTTTATTTAAATTTATCACGTTGACGTGACGAGTTTTATGTAATTACAGCAAATGTTGTAAATCCTAAATTAATTTTGGAAATAATCTAACGAGTCAGGTTTTTTACCTGTCTAGCCTATTGGGCCAATTTTGCCTTTCAACTCTTCATTTTCTCTAAAACATGCATGTTCGACAGACAATCATATACGACAAATATTTAAACATCGACAATCATAAAACATACGTGTTTGATAATTGTATAAGCTCATATATAAACATGGATACCGTCCGGGACGGATCGAAGGGCATGCAATGTAACAACATGAAACGAATAAGACAAAAACTAACATTGCATGTGAAACGAATAAGACAAGAAACTGTTAGACAAGATAATGTGTTGAACTCTTTGACGAATTTGATAATTGATTTTTTCTTAAATATCACATATTTATTCGAGTGTTGAATAAAAAAGATGTGTGAATTCATTAGAATTCGAATAGTAATAGGATATTGTTCTATTATCTAAGGATTTGTATTCAATTAAAATACGATTATATAATTACAAATTTATATTCGATTGAAATATGAATATATTATTTATAAATTTATATCTGATTAAATACAAATATATTATTTATGAATTTATGTTCAATTAAAATATGGATATATTATTACGAATTTATATTCGTTTGGAATACAAATTTGTACTTCCCGAATGATTGGTTTTCTTTTGAGAATTCCTTATAAATATTGTACTAACCTTTTAGGTTAAACACATGTTCAAAAGTTTCAACAAATTTCAGAAGTTTTCACAATTCAACAACGTGAAACAACTCATAAAAGTTTTACTCTTTTAGTTTTTTCAGTGATAGATAAAGACAAGAGTATAGTTTGTGATCTCTACAATTGTGATATTATAGCTGATCATCTATTTGTTGTATCCTGAGAGACAAACGACCAACGAACTCGAACACCAAAGGAATGATCGAAAATTTATCTTAAGGAACCTATGTAATGATAGACCTCAATTGTTTCCGATGAATTGATCAATCAGAAAAGAGTTCCATTTTGTCTCATATTGTTATTTTGTATAACAATCTTAAGCATGATTTAGCTTATTTTTCGAGATGATATAAACTCATTTGAGTTTAATCCTTGTTATGTACGAGGGGAGCGCCAAATTTTTGACAAAACGAATGATTGGCAATAATCAAGAGAAATTTACACCAACAATAAGTTTCATTCAATTCTGAATTATGAATTCCAAAATTCTTTATGAAATAATTTTGAATTTAATTTTAACGTGGGACATGGTTCCACTAATTTTTGTGCAAGGATTCCAATAATTGGATTCCATGAATTACAACGAGAAGCTTGTGAGATTTTATAAATAAAATTTAAAGATGTGACAACATAAGATTTTGTTTTATTTGGTCATGTTAAATTTGATCAAATATTAGATGATCCTTTTATTATTAGAGAGGATGAAGTAAACGTTATTATCGTTTTACTATTGTTAAAGCTTCAAAGTATTCTGACTTCTTATACTAAAATTATATCATGAATGGATTGTCAAATAAAAAGTGTATAATATTCATAAGATGGATAAAAGAATTATGGATAACATTAGACCATAAATATGAAACGAGAGATGCTGACACTAGAAAAATTTTAGTGGTCAAGTTATTAAAATTCGTAATAATAACACGGACGAGGAAGAATAAATATTTATTAGCTTCATCGATGATAGAAAAATTATCGGTATGTGTATTTACTAAAAAATGAAGTTGTAGAGAAATTTATTCTCTATAAATCGGAAGTTGAAAATTAACTTAACAAAGAGATTAAGATGGTGAGAAGACATTGTGGTGGTGAATACGTTGAACCATTTGATGAATATTATTTACAACATGATATTATTCACAAAGTAATCCCATTATACTATTCTCAATCAAATGGAGTAGTCGAATGAAAAATCGGACTCTAAAAGAAATAATGAACGCTATACTATGAAGTTTTGAGTTGTCACAAAACACGTGGGGAAAGAAGAAATTGTTATGTCAACTAGTTACCTTTTAAATAAAGTTCTTAGGAAAATAAAAATGATAAGACATCATACGAATTATGGAAAGGTCAAAAACTTTCATGCAAACACTTGAAAATGTGGGAGTGTCTTGCAACGATAATGACCATATTATTAAAGCAAATAAAAATAGGTCTTAAACGATGGATTGCATTTTATTTGGCTATCCTGATGTCCTAGAATAATACATCGATTAATATTAAAGATACCAAAGGTACAAGTGATATGTATTCATTTTGGGAGCAGAAGTCAAGTCATAGAAATCCTCAAGAAAACAATTTTAACTAGATTTATTATAAAATTCGATTTTGTAGCTATAGATAAGTCTAGAAAATAAGTTGAATGAACTTATAATTTCCTAAAGGATATTCCTAAATGGTTGTAACATGTGTCCACAGTATGTATATATTGTGATTAGCACAGAATTTTATGTATAATGATAAGTCGAGTCATATGTATCGTCGACATAATATCATTTGACAAATGTTCTAAAATGAAGTTATCACCATTGATTTTATAAGATCAAAATATTACTTTACAGATTCACTAACCAAAGGGTTAAATATAAAGGATTGAGACTAAAGGACATGTAATTTAAAGTTTTTATGTGGAGGAAAACTCTACACAGTTGACTAGAGATCCCAATATTTAGGTTCAAATGGACAACCTAATTGTATAAACCATTGTACGTTCATTGTGGGGTTTCTTATCCCCCAAGTTTTTTTGTGGTATAAATAGTGATCAAATTGATACAGGCTATGCAAAGCTTTTAATGACTATTGTGTGATTCGATGAGGCAAGCAACATAAGTCCCATATGCGAGAGTGAAGTAGAACCGCTTCAAGAAGACAATTAGGCATAGTTCTTTCAAACTCTTGCAGAACCGAGCGTTATCCGTGACTTTAAGGACATACCATGAGAATTAAAATTATTGTTAAAGAGGTAGTTGTGTTAAGTATATTATCGTTTACACAGAACAAAACAGTTCAAATACATCACGTCTATTGGTTAGCCAAAAAAGTAAATATATTATAACAAATGAAGGTTCAAAAGTGGACACCTACCTCCTATGTAACTATCAATCATAAAGTCTATCATCACATCAAGTCAAAATGTTTTTGATAAAATCATCAATTTCATTGGGATTGTTAGAAAAATGTGTTGAATTCATTGATGAATTTGATAATTGAATTTTCCTTAAATATGACATATATATTTGAATATTCTGAATTAAATATATATTATGGGGATTCTTTAGAATTTGAATACTAATTAGATAGTGTTTTGTTATTTAAGGATTTATATTTAATTAAAATTTGAATATGTTATTACAAACTTATATTCGATTGAAATAGGAATAGATTATCTGCAAATGTATATTTGATTAAATACAAAAATATTATTTATAAATCTATATTCAATTAAAATATGAATATATAATTACTAATTTATATTCAATTGGAATACAATATCTTAGTTTTGAAAAGATTATTTTTCCTTTGAGAATCCCCTATAAATATTGTGTTAAACAAGTTAAACAAATGTTCAAAAGTTTCGCATATCAGAATTCAAGAACTTTAAAATCTTGAAAATTTTATTTCTTCCACTAGTTTTCTGGTGATATATAAAGGCAAGGGTATAGTTTGTGATCTATGCAATTGTGCTATTGTAGTTGATCATCTAGTTGTTATATCCTTTGAGACAGACGATCAATGATCTCGAGCACAAATGATTTACCGAAAATTTGTCTTAAGCAAACTGTGTAGCGATATGCCTCAATTGTTTCCAATTTGATCTATCAAATAGAGTATTCCTTTCTATATTCATTTTTATTATTATTTAAGTTTGATTTCATTTTTTTTATCTTCTTAGATGTGATTATGGTATCAGATTGTTATATTTGTGATAATCCTAAGATTGAATAAACTCATTCTTTATCTTTAATGATATTTGAATATTAGTATCATTGTTATTTTTATATTTAATTCTCAGGTTAACGATTTTTCTAACCGAAACATCTAACTCAAAACCTTTCATGAATTTCCCATAGAGAAAATCGCCTCAGTGACCAAAAATGCCTTATAATATACGATTTTAACCAACTTTTTTTGGATTTGCCAAAATGACCAACAAAATCGCAACGCGAAATAAAAACCGCAACGCGATCCCCAGAATCGCAAATCAGTTTCCAAAATCGCAACGCGATTCTTGACAATCGCAATGCGATAGTACAAATTCGCATTGCGATTTTCAAGAATCACAACGCGAATATGAAAATCGCAACGCGAACACATAAATCGCAACGCGTATCCGTAAATCGCAACGTGTATCCGTAAATCGCAACGCGTATCCGTAAATCGCAATGCGTATCCGTATATCGCAACGCGTATCCGTAAATCGCAACGATAATCAGTAAATTGCAACGCGTATCCGTAAATTGCAACGCGATTTTTAAAGCGCCATTATAATCGCTACGCGTATTTTATTTTCAAATTACAAAAACGAATATTAAGACAAAATCCCGTAATCGCAACTCATAACCTAAAACCTAAAATCACAACTCA